CTGCTTCGTAACCCAGACGCCAGGGACCTTGGCGTCACCAGAAAAGGTCAGAAACGAATTTTTTTTCGGAACGAGGTCAAATCGGGATTTAGTTTGCCTTAAGGGTCAGAACAGTAATTTTGTCCGGGGTGGGCTGCGAGTTGAATGATTATACTCCTAGCTAGCAAGGCGCCATGATCGGGGATACTACTGGGGAGCATCCCTCGCGCATTCGCCGCTGCTTCCTTTCGGCCATATCCATCATGTTATGTTACGTACGTTATTGGATGGAGAGCGATGCGTCCCGGGATATATGGGCGCCCTGTCCCTCCCTCCCGCCCTTTGCTTTACGATCAGATCCTTGCACAGTTGCACTCCATGCAATCAATCGCTTTCTCTTCTTTTCATCTCCATTCCAGTACTAGTTGTGTAGATCGTCCAGTTACATGTAGCTACGTGTGCCGAATCGACAAAGTTCGTTCTGTGGCATGACAAAGTACTGATCGAGTGAAGAACCGTGGTAAAAGTGAGTGAATGCATGCGTTCTTCTTTCTCTTTCTCTACCACGCACGCATCCATGCATTTTCACTTCCTCACTTTGGGAGAATATCTTACCGTTCAGAGAGCTGTCTAGTAAAATGGGCCAATGGGGTAAGTGGTAGTAGTGCTTAACCAACTTTTCTCTATATATGGATCGATCGTATCTCTTCCCACTCCTACCGGCCCCTCTCCCGCATCCGGCGCCCTATTACAAAACGAGATACTGCTCTTGAGCGAATCCCTTTTGGTTGTTCTTGCTTCTTTTTGGTTGGGTCAGTGCCCAACAGCGCCTAGTGGGAGCTGTTTGTTTCGAAATCTTCACACAAAGTATATGTATCCTGTTGCGGTACTATGCTTGCCTCCTAACCTGAGTGGGGTGCTTAGTTTTTGTGTGTGGCACGTACCAGATGGTCCCCCTCTGGAAAGAGATTTGCCGAGCTGAAATGAGGTATCATGGGAGGTGGGGCTTGTAGGGTTTGCGGTTGGACTTGGAGCAGGCGACCTTTTGCAAGTCTAGTTTACTTGATACTAGGTAGTGCTATTGTATTTTGAGCATTCTAGAAAGGTAGTAAAGTGCACGGGTGCATGCTTTCAGGAACAAGCAACCTGGCTTTGTCTGGTGGGTCAAATCTCCATGTAAAATATTTCTCGAGTTCTTCGTCGAATTTATCTTCTTCTTTTTTCTTGGATGAACTCTGTGTGATTTCTATATTTTTTTGGTTAAGTACTTCATTCATCATTAACTGTTCACAGTTTACATTGCAATAGAAAACACTTGAATCACTTGACAACTTAATTATTAAAGCTGTTTATTATAGTATGCTTCTTTGCTAAAAGCGATGGAGTGGATACATATTTGTTGCCATGAACGATCAAAGAAGGATACGTGAGATGCATCGAAATGAAGGTCATTGATTATCTGAGCACTATAGAAAGCTAAAGTTCATGGGGGCTTAGCTTTGAGGATCAAGCAAACTTTGTCCTGTAGGTCAAATCTCCATTTATAACATTTTGTCTAGTCTTTTTACCTTTTCAAGATTTGTCTTCTAGGTCAAATCTCCCCTATAATATTTTCTATAGTTATTTCCTTTAATATTTGTTCATGTTGAACTTTGAAGTTAATTGATTGCCTTGCATACTTATGGACTTTATATTATAGTCATAATTAACAACAATATACCCATTCTAGTGTTTTAGTATATGTACTATTCATGGAAATACTACCAAGCACCAAAACTTATTGACACTTCCTCATCTCTGCCAAAGTGCACTAATGCTGGGACCTCCGGGTCCCTAGGGTCTAGGGACTAGGTCCCTGAAGTCCAGGCTTTCTCTCTGGATACTCTAGGTCCCCAGGTCATCTGACTCCCGGGCCCCAGGGTCCCCCACCTCATCATGACTACCTCTCTGGATGGGTCGGCTCCCTAGGGTCTCAAATCCTTGGGTCCCCAACACTGCCTCTCTGGGTATCCGGGTCCCCGGAGTGGTGGCTCAGCTCGTGGGTGACCCCGGGTCCACATGTTGGCAACGATCACTTGGTGTTGGGGGTATTTATACCGACCCTTCTTCCATCTGCAACCCAAATCCTTGACTTGA